ACAGTGATGTTGGTCATTGTAGCTTTCAAAGTGATCCGTTTGAACCTGTTGTATCTACTGAGACAGCAGCCAGTGCCATGGCCAGTGACTTGTATAGTATTGTACTTCCAAATCAGTTGCAAACTGCAGTAAATACATGTACTGAAACAGCAGCCAATATCAATAGCATGTATACTACTAGCTTTTCAAGTCAACAGCAAACTGCAGTATATACAAATACTGGAGCAGTATCAAGTGCCAGCAACACGTATACAAGTTTTCCAAGTCAGCCACAGTCTGCAGTTACTGCAGCAGCAACCAGTGCCAGCAACTTCTATACAAGTTGTCCAAGTCAGCAGCTAACTGCAGTTACTGCAACAGCAACCAGTACCAGCAACATGTATACAAGTTGTCCAAGTCAGCCACAATCTGCAGTTACTGCGGCAGCAACCAGTGCCAGCAACATGTACACAAGTTTTCCAAGTCAGCCACAGTCTGCAGTTACTGCGGCAGCAACCAGTGCCAGCAACATGTACACAAGTTTTCCAAGTCAGCCACAGTCTGCAGTTACTGCGGCAGCAACCAGTGCCAGCAACATGTACACAAGTTTTCCAAGTCAGCCACAGTCTGCAGTTACTGTGACAGCAACCAGTGCCAGCAACATTTATACAAGTTTTCCAAGTCAGCCACAGTCTGCAGTTACTGCAGCAGCACCAAGTGCCAGCAACATTTATACAAGTTTTCCAAGTCAGCAGCTAACTGCAGTTACTGCAACAGCAACCAGTGCCAGCAACATGTACACAAGTTTTCCAAGTCAGCCACAGTCTGCAGTTACTGTGACAGCAACCAGTGCCAGCAACATTTATACAAGTTTTCCAAGTCAGCAGCTAACTGCAGTTACTGCAACAGCAACCAGTACCAGCAACATTTATACAAGTTGTCCAAGTCAGCCACAATCTGCAGTTACTGCGGCAGCACCAAGTGCCAGCAACATTTATACAAGTTTTCCAAGTCAGCAGCTAACTGCAGTTACTGCAACAGCAACCAGTACCAGCAACATTTATACAAGTTGTCCAAGTCAGCCACAATCTGCAGTTACTGCGGCAGCACCAAGTGCCAGCAACATTTATACAAGTTTTCCATGTCAGCCACAGTCTGCAGTTACTGTGACAGCAACCAGTACCAGCAACATTTATACAAGTTTTCCATGTCAGCCACAGTCTGCAGTTACTGCGGCAGCACCAAGTGCCAGCAACATTTATACAAGTTTTCCATGTCAGCCACAGTCTGCAGTTACTGTGACAGCAACCAGTGCCAGCAACTTCTATACAAGTTTTCCAAGTCAGCAGCTAACTGCAGTTACTGCAACAGCAACCAGTACCAGCAACATTTATACAAGTTGTCCAAGTCAGCCACAGTCTGCAGTTACTGCGGCAGCACCAAGTGCCAGCAACATTTATACAAGTTTTCCATGTCAGCCACAGTCTGCAGTTACTGTGACAGCAACCAGTGCCAGCAACATTTATACAAGTTTTCCATGTCAGCAGCTAACTGCAGTTACTGCGGCAGCACCAAGTGCCAGCAACATTTATACAAGTTTTCCATGTCAGTCACAATCTGCAGTTATTGAGATAGCAGCTAGTGCCAGCAACACGTACACAAGTTTTCCATGTCAGCCACAGTCTGCAGTTACTGCGGCAGCAACCAGTACCAGCAACATTTATACAAGTTTTCCATGTCAGCCACAGTCTGCAGTTACTGCGGCAGCACCAAGTGCCAGCAACATTTATACAAGTTTTCCATGTCAGCCACAGTCTGCAGTTACTGTGAACAGCAACCAGTGCCAGCAACTTCTATACAAGTTTTCCAAGTCAGCAGCTAACTGCA